TGCTCGCACTAATGATTTGGTTGCTAGAATTTAGGGAAACTTATATAACTACAGTAATAGCACTGGTCACTGGCCTCCACCTAATAGCGATGGCCTCCACCTAAATCAAACAGCTTCCAAACAAAAAAAAATCTGCAAAGACCATCGAGAAACTGAATGGTGGAAGATGGCGGAGCTTTGTCGGCGTCAAATGTTTGCTCTTGTAAATTGTATATACATGTTACATGCAATTCAAAATTGAGAGCAGACAAGGACCACTGATTGCAAGGCCCCATTGGTCAAAATACATGCTCTTGGCAAACCTGCTTACGGATCGCTGAAGAGGCATGGACATTTGTGGTGTTTGCCAGTTTATGAAGGCTGTTTGGAGTAAAGTGGGAGTGGTTGAAGCTCCTTGGATCGGTTTCCAGTAAAGCAAGTTGGAATATGAGGCCGTTTCCACCTCCAAGTCTTTTTGGACTTCCCCAACTTCCCCAAGCAGAGCCAGCACCTGCGCTTACCTAGACTTTTGGAGATGTGACTTCAGACAGATTTTTCAACATGAGAAGCTTGTCCAAAGGTCTCGAAGGAGAAGGAGAAGAGCAAGAAGGACAAATCCAAGAAGAGCAAATGATGTCAAAAGGAACGTTCAGCTGCTGCATATGTCTCTTTTTGTCACTTGTAGTTGCTGATTGTTCGCGGTGAACTTGGAAAGACACAGATCATTAGGGTTGAACAGTGAAATACTACAATACATTACAATACACAATACTGTACACACAAAATACTGAACCACGCTGAATACATGTACTATATGCATTATTGTCATTCATTTGCCACCTTCATGTGCTGCTTGCATTGCAGCCATTTGTTCACCACGTAATCCCTTCGTGCTATCCGCAAGGCCTGGCATAAACATCACAAGGAGCACTTGAGCAGCGCCAAAGACGTCGCACGAACAGTTTAAGCAAACTTGTAAACACCAACATGCCCGCGGAAGCCAAAACTGCAGTCGTGGAAGCTTGCGGAAGCCACTGCGTAAGTATATTGTAAAATTCACCATCGCTGAAGCTTTGCGGAAGTGCACATGTTATTTTCTTCAATCTTGACAATAACGAATGCCTCTATACTTTAAGGAGATTTGTCTAACCTATGAGCACTTTTGAGAAATACGTCGCGGAAGAGCCGCGGAAGAGGATTTCAACCAATCATGGCCCGGAGAAGCCAAAACGCAGGTCGCGGAAGCTCCGCGCAAGCATTCGCGGAAGCAAGTCATGAGTATAACAGATCGTAGACCGGTTTTTGACACCGCTCACTTGACCTTTTGTTTTGCGTTATTTATTTTGATTACGTGCTTACTTGCAAAGTGCTCCTTGAACTTGAACTATCCTTGCACCTGTCCAGCAGGGAAGACTGGCCCAAGAAATATTGCGCAATGTAATATGTGACATCCAATCCATTGATGTATGTACATTACTTGACATGAATCATCATGAACCTATGTCAAAATAACCCTGCCAGCAAGCATTCACAAGAAATGCCGCTCTCGAGATGCCAGCACAATCTATCCTACTTGTATGTGTATATATACTGTAGATGATGACATTGTCACGACGGACCGGCAGGTCTTCCTTGTTCATTTTGTTGTTAGGTCTCTTTGGAGAATGTCACGTGGTCTTGGATAGTTTCCAGATGCGAGAAAAGCACGTCCTGTCCCAACATGCACAGACCCTACACCCACACAAATAAAGAGTGTTCCCCTCCATGTGACATACGGCAACCTTTGACCTTGAATCAACCATTCTGACGAAATAAGTCAATCATACTGATCGATGTGGTTGGGATGCACTAACCAGTGACTTGGATGTGCACTGATGGCTTTCTGCCTGCATAGCCCAAGATGGTCTGGAGGTGCAGCATTACTGCATGTGCGTCATGTTTTGTGTTACTCCCACACGCAGCAGGCGAATTTGGTTCTTGTGTAGCTTGCAGTTCCTTATCACAAACAGCTCGTGGACAGACCTCTACTCAGCTAAAACGCTGGAGAAGGAAGCACTTGAGCACGATTTTGTGATGTTAATGTTCGTACTCATTTTGAAAATTCTAAGGAAAAGCTGGACCACGGAAGCATTTCGGGATTTCCGAGCTATGATGAGGCCTGCTCGCAAGAATAACGATTTACCACCGCTTACTTGGCACCTGTTCAATCCTGTTCATCCAATGGTTGAACTTGCTTCTCGACTATACACTAACGATGCTCAAGTTGTCAGCTCGTGTCAAGGCCAACAAACTGTTGGAGCAGTTCTTGCAGCAGCACCCAAATGAGCTAACGAAGCAACAGACACTGAATTTGCAGTTGCTGAGACACGTCAAACAATGTCAGTCTAATGTTGAACACAACATGTTCATGTCCTCATGCAATGCCCTGAGCAATCCCCTCCGAAGTGCTCAAAAAACCAAGGATTGGCAAAAGCTTTGAGAGTCGGTCAAAGCCTCCAGTCTTTCCAAAGGGCGAATTGGCGTCAAGCCGTGTCAAACATGACTTTTGTGAGGCCAATCTATGCATACATTCTTGGAACCAGGGATGGAAGGCCAATTTGGATTGGGGATTCTTCTTTTTTGTCCTAAATGTACACTCCGACTCACTAACATAGAAATGGAAAACCCTTTGTTTGTAAAGGAAAGTAGTCTTCCAAGGGACCATTTTCCACTTCCATGTTTGAGTCGGAGTGTAAGTTGTCATTGTTTGTTGTTCTTTGCACCTGACCAATAATCGTGACCTGGAGGCAGCAACATCCGCCTCAGGTGTTGCTGACTGCCTTGACACATGCACGGGAGCTCCCTCCTCAAAGTGTTGACACTCTTTACTTTAGCGTGGAGCTCTAGCAGCTGAGGCCAGCAGGCTTAACGGTGCTGATCTACTTTTTGGGGCACTTGCTTGATCAGTTTCAGCAAGGTGATGCCCAGGCCTAGATGCCAAATCGAGCTTGTCTTTCTTACATGAGCATCTCCAAGTAAATCTGCGACGACTAAAGTCGTCACAAGGTGGATGTGGGATAGAGAACCTGCCTGAAACTCGCATACTTGATGATGGGCCCACCTATTCTCAGCGTGTCCTTGGGCACTTACATGCTCCAGTCTGGACCATCAATGCTTGGCTTTTTCGTTTCTTGCTATATTCGGATTGGAAGAGAGACATACTGTACGCCATGCCACATGCAGCGTAGTGTTCAGCGGTTTGGTGCCTGCAAGAAGATCTCAGCACATGGAACACGGAGTGTGTGGTTGCAGGAGTTCAAGGGCGGAATATTGCTTCAAATTGTGGTATAGAATACCGTCCGAACAAAGGTTGGGTGAAAGTTTCTTCCCAAGTACTAGTAGGAGAGGATTGACATCTGAATTTTGTCCATGTGCAATTTTGATCAATTTTGCCAATGTGTCTAAGATCAGGTGATTGTTGCAAAAGTCATGAAGAAGGTGCACAGCATGACCACTACACAGGGTGACAACCTGACATGAAACATGTGGTTAAAGCACGCGCGGCTACACTCATGTGTTGGCATTAATATGTCTGAATTTACGAAAAGGAGTGAATACCCGAGTTGAATATTCTCAACTCCTGGGTTAATTCTTTATCTTTTGGTACCTATCAGCTACCCCCTGAGAAGTATTAACTCCCAAGTTAATTCTTGGTACCATCCCTATTGTAGAAGAATCAACTCAGGATTTAATTCTTTTTATGTGCCCCCTACCCAATGTGGTACTTTATTGCTATTTGGGTCCCTTCAAAAAGAATTAAATCCTGAGTTGATTCTTTTGTGGGCACCATGGTGGAATAGATTTTGTGTACAGGTTGTTTTGGAAAAGAATTAAATCCCAAGTTGGTTTGGAAAAGAATTAAATCAAGAGTTAATTCTTTTCCAGGGCTGCCATGTCCCACCA